CCGATTACTCCCCGCTGGTCGTTTTAGTTGACGCCCATGTGCAATAAATGTCTGCGCTAGCACTGCAAGAATGCGCTTGCTCCAAGTGCGGGCATCTTGCACAGATGGGCTTTGCAACGTCAGCACAAGTCTAGATTTCGAGTGCATGTAGTGTTGTCGCTGCCTAAAACCGCGTGCCGAAGAGGGTGCCACTTTTAGAGATCAGGTTTAGCGTGTTAGTCGAAGAGCATTGGCCAGCACGTCAAGTTGCAGTTTGCGACCACTTATGTATTTCAGCTGGGCAGAGTCCAATCGCGCGTGGACAAAGCGCAGTGATCGGACACCAACATATGCTGCGCCCCAAAATAAAGCAGGATTGGTCAGATTATGACCAATAGCGCAAGGAGCTTGGCCAATGGCCCTTGTGCTGCAGGTGGCTGGGCATGAAAGCATTTCAACTGGCATCGTACCAGTATGACGAACCTTGAGCTTCATCGGTTATTCTTGGCCAGAGGCAGGTCGCACGCTGCGAAGTGCTTCACAGCTGCTCACTTGCAGACAGGACCACGCGCATTCAACTCGGTGGAATGTCTATCAGCTCTCGCGCAAGTGTTGTAGACCAGACGTCAGAACAAGATGCGAGGTCAACATAGGTCGCGCCCACGTTTCCAACGATTACTGCGGCACAGTCTTCTACTATCAGTAATTATGTCTCGACGCGAGGGTCGAGGCGCTTTCGAAGACAGCGTCGCAGTCTCGTTGAAGCGAACGACGCACACCTCCGATGGCGCCGGGTTCTCCACTTTCGAGGCGCCAGCCGATCGAAAGTCACGCTTGCACATATTTCAAGACATCGCTTTGCTTAGCGTCGCGGCTGGAGCCGACTCTACGTCGCCGCCGTACGCCTCTAGGCACGCGCTACCGATAGCTTAAGGGCTATGACATACTGTACATTGCAGCTCTAACAGCCTCGCCACCACGTTTCCGTCGCCTCTAGAATGGTTCCAAGAAATCTTCCAGGAATTATACCGCCGAGAGACAGAATTTGGATTTTTGGCTACTCACTCACACTTTCACATTGCAGGAAGCGTACATCAAGTCGAAACGATGTTATGTAGAGTGCTCTGGATTGCAGGCAGCAATTGTTGGCTTATAAGCTGCATCCATCCTGCTGCCCATTTTGTCAGTGCTTTTCAAGTATTGTACAACAATCAACGCAACGCGATTACCCTAGCTTTGCATCTATCTTCCAACATCAAATCAAGACTGGGGTTCGGTAACGTCACGGCGGGTGTATGGATGACGGGGTGCATGCAACTAGGCCATGCTTGGGACCGAGTGGGTTTGGGCGACGCCATCGTTGTCGACGGCATAGACTTTGTTGTTGCTGAGCGCAACGCTGATCCACGAGCGGCCCGGGAGCGGCTCGGACCACGTGATGCGCCTTTCCGAGAGGGAGCTAATGCTGCACTGGATCTGCTTAGTGTCGGCCGTGATACCGCAAACACGCTCGCCGTTGAACGCGATCTGCGAGAAGCCCGGGCACTTGACATCGGTCCACTTGACTTCGCCGGACGCGATCTCGGCCGTCGCGCCAACGTGCAAGTTGTTGACCTTGTCGAGAGCGTACACCGTCGACGCACTGGCGTGGAAGGCAAAATAGTGCTTCTGGGCCTCTTGGTACTTCCACTGCTGCTGGCCAAACTTGTCGGTGTACGGCATGCATTTCATCGAGATGTGGTTCTGCGCACCAGTCGTTTGCTCGCGGGCGCAAAATATGTCGCCGTTGGTCGCGACGTGCTTGGCAAAGCTGGTCGAAATCTCGACCGACGTGCCGGTGGTAATGTCCGAGACGACAGCCGTGCCGTTCGCATAGCTGTACTCGGCGACCGAGTTGCCGCCGACAGCGATCGTGGACCACTCACCGTCGCGCTTATCCCACTTGGTCGTCGATGACGGCGACGCAGCGCAGACCACCTGCTTGGTCGTGTCGAGGAGGCAGACGTAGGCGTTGTCGGCGGCGACTTGCTTGTATCCGCGACCGATCTCCACCCATGTCGTAGCCGGGATTGGCGCCATGGTCGGTGTAGCCGACGTCGGCTTGGGCGTTGGAGCCGTGGGCTTCGGGATGGTCGAGGGCGTCGGAGTGGTCGGGGTCGGGGTCGAAGGCTCCGGAATGACCGAGGGCGTCAGAGTTGTCGCTGTCGGCGTCGTTGGTTCTGGGATGGCCGAGGGCGTCGGTGAAGTCGGCGTCGCGGTCGTGGGTGCAGGCATAATTGTAGTCGGCGTTGGCGTCGGGCTGGCAACTGGCAAATCACCGCACGCAGCTTCAGACGCATATGCAGCGGCCGCAGCGACAAGCGCGGCGAGAGAAAGACGAAGAACCATGGTGGTGCAAATTTCAGAGTGGGGTCTGAGCTCCGAGTGCCGAGCTTCTGCATTGCTCGTGTCGCCGCAACCATCGTCACCATCTGATACCGGCTGAAATGGCTAACACACCGTTGATGTACAAGCGTGCAACAAATGGACGCCCTGTTTACAAGCCATGGACTCAATGCACTTATCCAGCTGGTTGTCATTCTTCCCTGCAACAACACTCTGTACATGGTATACCGTATATACCGGTACCAGCTACCGGTACGTACCGATATACAAGCCGAGCACAATGTACAGCTGTTTTGGACACGGATAACGCATGCGACAGTCAAGTTTGCGCCTCGTCTTGAGGGTTCACAAGTTGGTGTTTTGCTTCTGCAGTGCATCATTGCACTAACACTAAGCTTAGTCTGACGCTAGTAAACATGTTGAATGGATTGACTAACTACCATTGTGTTTCATGGAGCTACCAGGCACTTGATTTGACCGAAAAAAAGCCTCTTGGGTGAGCTTGCCGCACGACCACACTTGGATGCTTGTAGTCGACGTGACCAGCAGTAACCTCCACCGGAATCCTTGCAGTTGTAGTACCGATACTCTCAGATGCGTCGCGGGCACTCCCCGTAGTTTCCCAAGCTTCAATTGCGGTCAACATGGGTCATGCCCAGCATGACTTATCTGGGATTACTATCCCGTGTTCCACCCTTCCAATGCCGTCCAAGCCAGCGTTTGGCGAACGATCAGCGATGGCTTAGCGCAAATCAAGGCCGACGACTGCGCACTCCATGCCCAAATACCAGAGCATACGCAGTGGTGATGAAGGGCGTCAAGATTGCAACGTCAACGGCTGCTAGCGATTTTTCTTCAGTCGCCGACGGCATTTTGGTGGGTACGAGTGACTCCGCTCCAGAGGGAGTGGCGTCGCATCTATGATGTGGTGTCTTTTCTTGCAGGAGGTCGACCCTGTTGACGACCCGTTGTGTTAGTCCTTGCGACGCTTCCGCGCCCTACAACCGCTGAGACAGCGGCCCACTGCGAGAGATCGTAGCTCGCGAGCGCTGGCGTCTGCTGGACCACGTGTTGCGCCTGGATAGGAATGCCTTGCCATGGTCGCCGCCACTCGCCTCATTGCCCCGCCCCGATTTTAGGCCACGCCAAGATCACTTTGCCGATCGTCCTGCTCCGCGACCTCCAGTCGCCGACGCCGCCTCAGTTGCTGGCGCTCGTCATCATGGGCTTCGCTTGCGACTGCAAGCGCCCTCGGGCGACAACAGAAGAGCCAGATGCGCCCCCGCAGCAACGGTCCGGCGAGCTAATGAAGGAGTAGACCAGTCTCGGCGCTTGTGAAGCCTTTGTAACAACGAGGATAACGCGAAACACGTTCATCTATTGAGATTATGCACAACATGTCTCGTTTGGACATATTGCCAGCGTCCGACCTCCGAGGTCGTGTTCGGTGGTGTTGCTCTGTCAAGATTCCCGAGCTCCCGACAGCTCCTGCTCTCGACTTGATGACTAAAATAAAAATGGTTTAGCTGCGCTTGATTGGCCATTTTGCATTATTTTTGACCAATGACGACCGATACAGCGCCAAACGCCGCCAGCGGAACGAGCCTTGCAATCGCCCAGATCACGATTCCAAATGAATTCGCCCATACTTGGCACATCGATACAAGACGCTTTGGGGACCACGAAATGCTTCTTGGCACCAGCGTTTGAGCTGAAGCACGCGCAAGGGTCCCAACTGTTAATAATGGTATCCGCCATATATAGCCACGGATAGCCAGATCTTCAAGCCGTCATTTCCGCAATAACTTATTGCGTCTACGAATCCTCCGGAGCCATCAACACCTCTCGCAATGTATGACCCAAAGGACTTTGGCAATACTGCTCTGAATCTGGCGCGACTCGCCTGGTGTGCCTGCAGGATAATCTTAGCTGCCGCAGCCGAGATGATCGCTGGCCCGCACACGACAACATTGTACCGTGACTATGAACCGCAGATTGAGAGGTGCATAGCAAATACGCACGGTGCTGGCTGCCTGCGTCACCGCACTCTTCGACCTACGTGGGCTCTGGTGGTGCCACGTACTCCCTCTATAAATGCATACTGAAACAAAGAGGCTTTCGAGATGTGCTTGTATCGAGGGGGTCAACCAGCCAACCAAACGCGAGGCTGCAGCTCGATCCAATGGCATTGCAGCCAATCCTCAAGTAGCTTCGATGGCCGCCAAGAAGCAGCAGACGACGCAGAAGCGCAAGTAGGTCTACCGAGCCGCCGGACCACGTAGCTCATGATGGCCTAGGCTCGACGCGCCCGCGCCGGTCTCCAAGAAGGGCAAGTACGAAGCCATCGCGGCCAAGTCCAAGAAGGCTGCCAAGGTCGTCGTGCCCGAGTCCGAGTCGGAAGATGAGCCCATGGCCAGCGACAACGAAGAAGAGGTCTCGGAAGATGAGCAGGAAGTTGACGAAGACGACAATGACGAAGACGACGATGATGACAACTACGACGACGATGCGGCGCCCAAGGGCTTCTCGGACGGTAACGCCAAGTGGCTCAAGCCCAAGGTAACCACCGCTGCCACATGCAACTGCAGGCAGCTCACGATGTTATAGAACGCTGGCAGCGACGACGAGGACGATGAAGACTCGGACGACGAGAACATGACCGAGTTTGAGCGCAAGGCCGCTCGCCTCGCAGCCAAGGAGGCCCAGGACGAGGAGGACGCCGAGGAAGAGATGCAGCTCAACCTCGCCAACCAAGGCAAGTACGAGCTCCCGGACGAAGACGACGAGGACGACGACGAGGCCGGCGGCATCGACGCGACGGACGTCTACCAGCGAATCAAGGACGTCATTGAAGTCCTTGCGCACTTCAAGGAGCGCCGTGAGGCGCACCGCAGCCGCTCCGAGTACATTGACCAGCTCACGACCGACATGGCGTCGTACTTTGGCTACAACCGCGACCTCATGGTGCTCTTCATGCAGATGTTCTCGCCCGCCGAGACGCTCGAGTTCATCGAGGCCAACGAGCAGCCGCGTCCGCTTGTCATCCGCGCCAACACGCTCAAGACGCGCCGGCGCGACCTCGCCCAGGCGCTCATCCAGCGCGGTGTGAACCTCGACCCGCTCGCCAAGTGGTCCAAGGTCGGTCTCAAGATTTACGACTCGCCGGTGCCGATCGGCGCGACGCCCGAGTACCTCTCTGGCCACTACATGCTGCAGTCGGCGTCGTCGTTTGGCCCCGTGCTTGCGCTCGCCCCCGAAGCCAACGAGCGCATCCTCGACATGTGCTGCGCGCCGGGCGGCAAGACCACGTACGTGGCGCAGCTCATGCGCAACTCGGGCACGCTCATCGCCAACGACCTCAAGAAGAACCGCCTCAAGGCGACGGTGGCCAACCTCCACCGCCTCGGCGTCAAGAACTGCGCGGTCTCCAACTACGACGGCCGCAAGCTCCCGAGCGTCTTCACCGGCTTTGACCGCGTCCTCCTCGATGCGCCGTGCACGGGCATGGGTGTCATTGCCCGCGATCCGTCCATCAAGACGCAGAAGACGGAGAAGGACGTCTTCCGCCTCTCGCACCTCCAGAAGGAGCTCATCCTCGCGGCCATCGACGCCGTCGACGCCAAGAGCGCGTCGGGCGGCATCATTGTCTACTCGACGTGCTCGGTCATGGTCGAAGAGAACGAGGCGGTCGTCGAGTATGCGCTCAAGAAGCGCGCGGTCAAGCTCGTCGACTGCGGCCTCGACCACGGCAAGCCCGGCTTCACCCGCTACCAGCAGCAGCGCTTCCACCCGAGCATGACGCTCACGCGCCGCTTCTACCCGCACGTGCACAACATGGATGGCTTTTACGTGGCCAAGTTCAAAAAGTACGCCAACGCCAAGCCGGACGACGGCTCGGACGACGAGAACGACGACAAGGACGACTCGGACAACGAATCCAAGGTGCTCTCCAAGCGCCAGAAGCGCCAGCTCGAGAAGGCCAACAAGAAGGCGGCCGACGCCGTCGTCGCGACGGTCGTGGAAGAAGACAGCGACGACGAGGTCGCCGTCGAGGCCAGCGAGGACGACGCCGAGGAAGAAGAGGCGGCCGAGGAAGAAGCTTCGGAAGACGAAGAGGAAGCTGAGGAGGAAGAGGCTTCGGAAGAAGAAGAGGACGAAGAAGAGGAGCCTGTCGTGGAAGCCAAGCCCGTCAAGAAGCAGCAAAAGACGGCGACCAAGCCGGCCGCCAAGCCCGCTGCCAAGTCTGCTGCCAAGCCTGCTGCCAAGCCGGCGGCGCCTGCGGCCAAGAAGATCCAGGGCAAAAACCAGCCGATGGGCAAGGGCAACAAGCCCGGCAAGCCGACGGTGTTGAACCCCAAGGCCAAGCAGGCTCGCTTCATGGCCAACAAGTTTGCCGAGGCGCGCCTGAAGAAGAAGTCCAAGAAGTAAACCAATGCATTATTTTCCCATGTTAATCCATAGAATTCCTCCTTACATACACTACGTACACCGTATTCTGTGGCGCACTCTCTTCTCTGGCTGCAGAACCGACGCTACCGACGACGTCGTCAGCGCACAGACGTCCGCTTCGCTCTTCTTGGCGTCGCTGGCTTCGTCGCCACATTTCCCTTGGTCCACACTAAGATATGATTGCCAGCCTCTGATTCGCTGCTTCTTTGCTTCGAACTTCGTGTAGTAAGTCTTACTTCGATAGTCGACGCGACCTGCTTCCGCCGACCACGACAAAGGTTGATGCGCTTGGTGGCGGCGACCGAGATGGCTAGATACCAGTAGTGCACTATAACGTCTTTCGATATTGTCTACTAGTTTGTAGACAGCACACGGTGCATCGAGAGCAGATAATTTACACATGGTTCTACACCTATCCCTACGCCGTAGTCGTCTTGTGGCGGGGCTTTTGGAACTGCTTCTTCATCGTCTTCTTGTTCTTGAGCGCTTGCTTGTGCTTGCGCCGGAAGTCGAGCGTATACGTCTTGCGCAGCGTCATCCAGTCAGCCTCGTGCGTCTTGGTCCACGGGTCGGGCTTGCAAAAGCTTGCGCCAAACGCCAGCACGTCGGCCACCTGCCGCTTCGGGAGCGCGTCCGTCGCCGTCGCCGGCTCGTCTTCCGCCTCGTCATCCTCCTCCATCGCTTCGTCGTCCGTGCTGTCGTCCTGGACGACCTTGCGCACCGTGTTGGCAAAGTGCCACGTCGACTCGTCGAGGTCGGGCTTCTCCTCGAGCGGCTTGGCGTCGACATGGTCGTCATCGTCTTCGATGACGTCGCCACCGCCAAACATGGACGCGAAGCTGAAGCCGGTCGACGCGGCCGCGGTCGGCTTGACGATACCATCGAGCGCGGCCTCCATCTCCTCGCCGTCCTCCGAGTTGGCGCGGACGCGCGAGAACATGGTCGAGAGGTCCGACGTCGCAGCAAAGTATCGCTCTTCCGACACCTCGGGCATCGGCGTCTCCTTCCGGACTGGCATCGGCGGCAACACTTCGCCATCGTCGTCGTCGTCGTCATTGTCCTTGGCGATTTCAGCGTCGGTCGGGGCCGTCTGTTCGAACGCCTTGGCGTCGGCGTCGCGCGGGTCATATCGGCGCACGGACGCGAGCCAGCCGAGCTGCTTGAGGTCCTTGGCGTCCGAGACGGACCGGTGCAAGCGGGCCTTCGCGCGCTCCAATTCCATGTTGGGGAAGACGAGCGAGAGCACGTCGAGGGCGCGCTCGGTCTCTGCAATGTACGTCTGCTTGGCGACTTCGTCGGCGTCCGGCGCGACGGTGGCCCATGCCTGGACCGCGTCGTTTACGGGCTCGTCGACGTCGTGCGTCGCGTCGTCCACGCCGTCGTTGAACTCGTCGCCTTCGACGAAGCGCGCGTCGAGGCGGAAACGCTGGTCGCCGCCAAACCGCTTCTGCATCTCAAAGAGCCGCTTGCCGTCCGCGCCGGCAAACTCGGGCCGGAACTCAAAGAGCGCTTCCGTCTTGCGCCGCTTGAGTCCGAGGAAATCGTCGTCGTCCTTGTCATCGTCATCATCATCGTCGTCCGAGTCGCTGAGGAACCCGCGCTTCTTGGACGGCGCCGGCGCCGGCGTCGACGTGGTCTCGACGTCCGAGTCGTCCGAGTCGTCGCCAAACGTGATCTTCTTGTTCGTGGCCGCGATCGGCGTCGGCTGCTTCTTCTTCGCCGCCATTTGCGCCTCACGCTCCTTGATGGCCGCGAGACGACGAGCGTTCGCGGCTTCCTTGCGCGCGGCTTCGTCCACGACAGGCGCAGCAGGCGTCACCTCGACGGGCGCCTCGAGTTCCTTGGCGATCTCGGCCTCCATATCGACATCTTCGTCGTTGTCTTCGCTGTTGCTGTCGCTGTCTTCGCTGTTGCTGTCGCTGTCACTGCTGCTGCTGGACGCGGCTTGCGCCTGGGCGTAGGCGAGCTCCAGCTCCCGCTCGATCTCCGCTTCCATGTCAATGTCATCGGCCGGCGACGCTTCGTCTTCGTCCGCCACGTCGTCGACAGGCGCATCCGCATCTTCTTGCTCGTCGCCTTCTTCTTCGGCTTCGTCGTCCGACGTCTCGGAGCTCATGGCCCCATCCTCGGGCGCGTCAATGTCCTCGTCCGACGTCTCGGAGCTCAACTCGGCGTCGGCGACCGGCGCTTCAACCTCAGCCTCCATCGCGACGTCGTCGTCGTTGGTTGCGTCGATGGCGTCCGCCGAGGCGACCTCATCATCGCTCTTGTCGTCGTCGTCCGAAGTCTCGGAGCTCAAGTGACCGTCGTCTTCGTCGGCAGCTTCCCTGTCCGACTGCGGGGCCTCGGCCACGACCGCCGCCACCACGGGCGCCTTGGACGCAACGATCGTCACGACGCCGTCGTCGCCAAAGAGCATGCGCTTGCCCTTGTAGCGCTTGGACTTTTTGAGTTCCATTGCCGGCGCTTCGTCGCTTTGGGCGGGTGCAAAGGCGCGCTCACGCTCGGCGAGAACCTCGGCCTTGACGACCTCGTCGTCGGTCCACGCCGCCTGCAGCCGCTGCAAAAAGTCGGGCTTGGCCGACTCGACGCGCAGCCGCTTGCCCTTCCACTTGGTGTTGTGGTACGCCTTGACAAAGGCGTCGACGGTCGCGGTCTCGGCGGCCGCATCGCCGGACGCCGAAGCGATCTGCAGGTAGGCAAAGTCTTTGGCTGCCGAGTTGGCCATGAGCTGGACGTCGTCGATGCGCAGGTCAGCGTTGTTGGCGAGGAGGCGCTCGAAGCGCGAGACGAGCTCGGCCTTGGTCACATCCTCGGGCAGCCGCCCCACGTAGAGCCGCTGGACCATGGCAATGCAAACTTGACTGGAGCTTACCGAGTACACGGCCAAAGTGCGGATTAACCGACACGTACTTGATCGAGCTACCCGAGTCAATGGACCGGGTCGAGCACGATACAGTAGGGGGTGCTACCGAAACGGCAATGATGTGCAACGAATTGGTATATATTGCTTTGGAGGGGACCTAACTCGTTGAAATAGACCCCCTCCCCACTTTAACGCGTGAGTTTGAGGTTAAAGACCATGGAGGCGGTCGTGCGCAAGCTTGCGCATCCGATCGAGGAGATCCGCGTCCGCGCCCTCCACACGATCGAGACCAAGGTCACCCGTGGGCTCTGGCCGGCGCCGATGGCGCTCCCGCAGGCGCTTCGGTCCATGCTCGCTGACAGCCTGCCGGCTCTCGCCGTCGACTACCCACAGGCCGCGACCCTCCTGCAGCAGCTCAACGCCCCGGCGCCGGCCACACGCCCGCGCGCGACGCTGGGTAGCTTGAAGCTAGCGCCAGCTCAACCTCAAGAGGATGTCAAGGAGGCTCCAGCGCTGGCCGAGCCGCCGACCGACACAGCGCGTGGCTGGACGTTCCCGCCCGTCGTGCTCGCCGAGGCCGACGACAAGCTGCTCTTCGAGCTCGAGGTGAAGCTCAAGCTCCAGGCGCGCCCCATGGATGTGCTTAGCGTCGTGCGGCGGCTGCGCGACTCTGCGATCATCGACTTCCCGCCCGAAGTCTTTCTGCAGCGCCCGGCGACGCTCCAATACCTCTTGCACCTCGTCGCGACGCCGCTTCTCGAGCCGTCCGCGGGCTTTGGCGACGTCTACTACGACTATCCCAAGACGTCGACGCCGGCGACGCTTCTTCTGACCGTCCTCGACGTCCTTTGCGACCTCACGGCCGGATGGCTGCAGTCGTGCCGCCTCCTTGCGCATGCAACGTACACGGCCCCGTCCTCGCCGCATCAAACGTCCCGGTACCCTTCTCCTGCCGGCGCACCGGTGGTCGGCAGCTGGTCGCTCGCGGGCGGGCTCCACGAAGTCGTCGTCCACTGGCTCGTCGCGCTCGCGCAACCGACGGCGCCGCAAGTCCACCTCGTCGCCGCTGTCGTCGCTGTCGCACCGGCATGGCTTCGCGACGCCGATGACATTGGTCTGGACGCTCGTCGTTTCACGCGGCTCTTCCACGCGATAGCAAACGTGCTACTTGCGCCACACGTCGACAAGCACGTCGTCACGCCTCTCGTCCGTTGGGTCACCGATGTCTTCAAGCAGTTGACGCCGTCCGAGCTGCACCCGTCGGTTATCACAGTGCCGGACCGACTCGTCGACGAGCTTGCGTCGCACGTACTTGTCACCGGCGACGAGCAACTGCTGCCGTACGTTGTCGCCTGCCGCCCCGAGGTGGCGTTGACGATGGCGCGTCACGTGCGATTCTCGGCGCTGCAAAAAAAGTGCGACCCGTTCTTGGCGTCGGTCAGCGCCCGTCTCGATGGATCAACGTCGACGTGGGACGCGGCGAGCGCCGTCGCGACAGCCCGCGAGCTGCTCGATCTAGTCGTCGCGGACGATGGCCGCCGAGAGTCGCTCCTCGGTGCGATCGCACACGTCATTGGCCTTGCCGCCGACGAGCCAGACCTCTCACTCGCGGTGCAAGAGCTCGTCGAGGCCCTTGGCCAGCGCTGTGTCGAGGTCAACGGTCACTACGAGACGGTCCTGGCGTACGTCGAAGGGCCTCTTGGCGGGCTCTTAACTGCACAAGGCATTCTGCACGGGCTGTGTCAACGCCTCGCGGTTGACCCGGCGGCGGAAGCGCTCTGGACGCTGCTTGATGGATGCTGGACCCGGCTCGGCTCTGACATTCCGCCCGTCATGTGGCCGTACCTGCAGCACTGGGCGTACGCCGAGGTGCCCATCTCGCGCCACCACGGCGACGTCCAAGAGTCCTGGGCGCGCCTGCTTCATGCGCTGCCTGCTGTCGCAATGGCGGACGACGTCGTCTTGCGCCTCCGGTGTCTCTTCCACCGATCCAACTACGTTCGCCGGGCAGCCGTCATGGGCCTCAACGAGATTTTAAGCTTGGCGGTCGACGACGACGTCTTTGGCGGCGACGACACGGAGCCCGCGCTGCAAGCCTACGCAAGAGCACACCACTCTGGTCGACTCGGCCATGCGTCGTCATCGCAGCTGGTCGAGAAGGTGCACATGTGGCTGCTCATGCTGCGCTCGACGTCGCTCGAAGCCAACATCAAGGCGTCCGTGCTCACCCAAGCCGCCGAGCGATTGTACCGCGTCGGTGGCGCCACCGACGTCCTCGCCGACGCCGGCCTTCTCGCCGAGCTGCTGCCGACGCTGGTGCAGCTCCTCGATGACGCCAGCGCATGGATGGCACCCAAAGTCGTCTTGGTGCTCGATCGGCTCTTGTCGCAGTCGAGCTTTGCGCGCAAGTGGTTTCGAGCGCAGGTCGACGGCCTCCGCGCGCTCTTCCTATGCGCCAATGTCGAGACCAACCCCGAGCTCCGTGCTGGCGCGTACTGCTGCCTCGCGTACATCACGATGGCCCGGGACGTTTGGACGCTCGAAGAGGACTACGTGACGTCGATGCCGTCGATGCTCTTGCCCACATTTGGTCTGCACGCGAGCGTCTGGACGTCCATTGACTCGCTTTGCCCGACGCCGCTACTGGCATCAGCACCCGCGTCCCCTCTGCCTCTGCAGCGACCTATGGCGGCCGAGTGGACACCGACGCACGTCCGCGCGCACCTCGAAGCACTCGCATCGGCGTCTTCGCACCGGTCGTATCTGCACCTCCTGTACAACTTGCGGTGGTGGCTTGTCTTGGACCCGACGGTGTGGGCGCCGGTCGTCGACTCGCACGGCCAGCATCTCTTGCGTCTTCTCGAGACGTACCCGTGCAGTGCCAAGGACCTGCTCGTGCTCGCCGCGCTGCTCCGGTGCTTTGCCAGTGTGACGCCACATCTCGGCTCGTCGCTCCTCCTGACCTTGCTGCTGCGCCTCAAGGTGCACGTGGCGCCGCTGCTCCGGCAGTGTCTTGCGTCCAACGCGCCGCTTTTCGACGCGACCATGGGCTTGCTCCTCGCGATGGCCGAAGCGTCCGTCGACCTCGCGCGGTTTGTCGCTGCCTTCCTCATCGATACGAACGTGCATGCCACGGCGCTTCTCACGGTCGGCGTTGCCGTCGACGCAGCCGTCGCGCTTCCGGTGCAGCGCGTCTGTTTGCGGCTCGTGGCGCGGCTCACGCAGGTCGCGGGCGTCGACGCCGAGGCGTGGCATCGCTTTGCGTCCGAGACGCTGCGCCCCGTGCTTCTCAGTGTGCTGCGCCCGCACCGACGCGCCGACTCGTTCCAGGACAAGCGGCGAGTGCTCCACGCTCTCGAGTGCCTCTTGGCTCTGCCCACCGACGATGACGTCGTGGCCACCGCGCGCAGTGTATTGTTTGACGTCGATGGCCGACTGCGAACCCTCGGCTACATGCTCGTGGCCTCGGGCGCCGAGACGGAGGCCTCGCTGGCGCAACTGGCCCTCGATACGGTGGGCGACGCCACCGAAGCCGCCGCGGTTCGCCGTGCCGCGGGTGCCGTCGTGGCTCGTGCGAGCGCACTTTACACGGCGCCGGTCCGAAAACTGCTCGTCGACGAGACGACGACGTTGGCGCCAGCGCTCACGCTCGCCCTGCTGCGGCTCGTGCCTCTCAACGACCCGAGCTTGCCCTCGTTGCCGTGGCCATTGGTACGCATTGCTTTGCATCTTTGGCGTCAACACTGATATTGTAGCTCTTGTCGATGGCGACACCGGTCGACGTCTGCAGCCGGTTTGCTCACTCGGTCCTCGGCCTCTCGGAGACCAAACGCTCCGCATTCCGTGATCTCATCACGGTATCTCAAGTTTGTCTCGGTCTAGAGGTTATATCCTGTTGTTCTAGGAGGCCTGGACGACGTCACACCAAGCAGACGCGATGCTCAGTGTACGCACCGCGTCTTTCCTGCTGCTCTCGGTCGCGCCACGTCCGTCAGTGGTACCTCCGACTACCTCAAGATACGATGTCACAGTTTCGTGTAGGCATCGCTCTTGCCAGCGGTGTCGTCCGTCTTGGTCTGGTCGGGACCACTCGATGCGCACTACACAGCTCTTCTGGGCGACGTGCTCAGCGTTCTTAGCGTCCTTTTGGCCGAGAGCTCGCTGCACCTGCCAGCGTCCTTTCTCTCGGAGCTACTCGAAGCACTGTTACGTGCGACGTCGGATCGCTTTGCCGACCGCGCGCTCCTCGAACGTCTCTTGGCGCCCATGGCGGCGCTGCTCCCGCGCATGCTGCCGCTGCTGTTGCCGCAACAAACCACCAAGCTCTCGACCCTTAGCGACCACGTCGTCGCCCTCCTCGTGCACACAGAGGTGGCGCCTGCACCGCTCGCATCGATCCTCACGTCGATCGCCGAGTCGGGTGAGGTACCGATGGCGCCCACACACAACCTCGTGGCCGTGGCCTGGCGCCGGCTCCTCGTCGCCGCCGACACGATGCGACTGCGCGGTGTCTCGGCGTCCGACAGCTTTGTGCTCTACGCCAGTCTCCTCGCCGGACTTTTCTTCACCTCGAAGAGTGCGCAGGACGACGCGACGGCGCTGGAGCTCCCGCGGCACGTGGCCAACTTCTACTCGACGATTTGCAAGCCGACGGTCCACGCACCAGTGGCTTCATCGGCACTTGCGCTGCTGATCAACTACGTCCGTGCCAACGACAGCTCGAAGCGCGCTACCATCGCCCAAGGCGCGTTCTACGCGCAGCTCTGGGAGACGGCCCTCGCAAGGAATGGGGCCTCACCACAGGTGTTTTCGCTGCTCAAAGCGCTCGTGCTGCACGCCGACGGCGTCCTCGCGGCCATCAAGCGCGGCTTCCTCGCAAAAGCAGTCGCGTCGCTCGACGAGACGCTGCGGCAGATCGCCAAGGGCAACAAGACGATCTCGATTGCCGCTGTCGGACCGCTCGTCGACGTCTTGGCCAACGTCGCCAGCGTCGAGGACGGCCGGGCTGAGCTCGGCAGCAGCACGCGACTGCATGTCATCTTTGCCGACCTCTTGGCGGCGCCCTCCGTGCTGCAGACAACGACGCGCTGGGTGCGTCACATGGCGTGTGCGCCCATGGGCAAGAACGCACTCATCCAGTGGCAGTCGGTGCTCGCGGCGCTCGTTGCACTAGTCGCGGCGCCCGACGTCATCGTTGCGCTCCACGCGTCCTGCGCCGTGTGGTGGCTTCTGTACAACAACCAGCGCGCGCTCGCGCTTCTTCAAACCAATGCCGAGTGGTCTGCGACGCTACGCGACGCAGCAACGAGCGCCGCGACGCGCCTCGACTCGGATGCGCACCGTGTCGTCGAGTATCAGCTGCGCAACATTGTGCAGCTCTTGGACGACAGAGACGACAGAGACGACAGAGACGGCTTGGTAGCATCGTAATGGAATACCGCGTACTATTTAACTTGGTCGTGGTCGCGGAACAGAGGCAAACTGCCGTCTTTCGGTCTTGGCCGTTATTATTGGCGTTCGCCATTGACTACCTCAAATAGCCAGATTTAGGGTGGCGCACGCTGGCGGCCTCCACAGATCGACCAAAATGGAGTTTGAGATGAAATCGCCCATACTTGCGAGAGTGGTAAGCCATGCTTTGGAGAGCTCAAAATACTATGTGGGATCCTCGGATCGCCCCGAACCGTGCGCGAGAACTCGGGTCCGCTTGTGCCACTGATTTTTGCCCTAATCAAGAGCCCATTTTCAACATCAAGCTCCGTGCCGAGCGCGCGCTCATGGACGCGCCCGAGATTGCGGCGCGCGCCGAGCATTGTGCAAGTGAG